CAAAAACAAAAACAAAAAAACAACAGCAAGCGAAAACTTCTAAATAAGTCAGCACGAACCATATACCAAAACTAAACACAATAAGCTAAAAAATAACAAAATCCCCAACAATAAATTCGCTTAAAATATAAGCATACAACACAAAATGATAACAATAGAAGCAACAAAGCGAAATAAATGCATTTCCAGCACAGCAATAAATAACGGACACTGTTCAGGGTTACCAAGCAGATTAGAAACTGAAGGCGATACAAACACACACAAAAAGAAAGCGAAACACAGAAATGTGCATTTCGGGAAAACTTGACTGCGAAAAAATGCATAAAAAGAAAGCGCACTGCAACAACAACAAAATAACGAAATTATAATTGTGTCACGTGCGCAGACACGTAAGACGAAGGCGTTGCTAGCACCAAGTAAAAGGAAAAAAACGCAATCAAAACAACAAAAAACCCAGCGTGTTGAAGAAAACCTGCACAATTTTAAAAATTCAAGAGACGCTGCCACGAGTGTTCGTACTTGAAAGTTGCGAGCGGCGCGCAGCTACACATTAGGTGTTGAAATCGTATTGCGGCGCGAATGTGTCGGCCGCAGCGACCGTGGCAGCTGCAGAAAGTGCGATAAATTTCAATTGCAGCACCGGCAGCTACAACACCAGCAACCACAATGGCGGTAGCGCAGTAGCAAAAGCCGACGCAAATAAATAAATTGCACGGGACAGATAAGCGGGAACTTTCAGCGAACGCAAGCGGCGCTTTGCCAGTCGCAGTTGAAAGGCGCCAGCAGCTCGCTACGGTGCACAAAGCCAGCAGCAATACAAGCGACTGTGCGTGTATGGGTGTATGTGTGCGCGTAGCGCATGCAATTGGCATTTTCATGGTTAACAGTCGAAAAGTTGCCGCCAACGAAAGGCAAAAAGCAAAAACCAAACGAAAACTTGTTCCACTTTCACGGCAAAACAATTCGCTTGGTGAAAATGCATGAAAAAATGCACAAACAGACATATATGCATGCATATTTTGCCAAACAAGCAAACCTCATGCATTTGGAGCCGACAAAAACGACGACAAAAACAACAAACGCTCGTGCGTACAAATGAAACACGAAAAGGCAACTAAAATTAAACTGCATTGCTGCGCCTTCTTTGCAACACTTTCGCTACAAAGCAGTAGGCAACAACAAACAACTAACAGTAACTTTGCGCCACCACAATGCCACGGATGCGCAGCATTTTGTGGCAGCAATGAAAAGTTTGTTTTTGCAGCTGTGCACTCGGTTGTTGTTATTGTTTTTGGTTATATTGCGGCTTGTAAATGCATATAATCGGCCATAAATCATTGAAGAGATAGCAACTGTGTGTTAAAAACGCTTTCGATATGGATTTTTGTTTTTTTGGCCGCATACCCAAACTATTACTCATACGCTGTGGTGCACTGCGTGGCGAGGCGAATGAAATTAAGCGCTTTTAATTGCTGGCATTTCGCAAGCAAACTGGAAATATTTCCAAATTTGCGCTTGTGACCACGGAGAGCTCTGATGCTCAGCTATGATTATAAAGTTCTTTGTGATAAGAATTTTCGGGCAGACTGAGCGCTTTTTTAGCTTAATTTCGATGAGCTTGTATTCGACATGGATCGTTGTGACAGAGGCAGCAAATAATGCGAAATTCCGAAATAATATTATTAATAGCTATGTGAATGATGTATGAATGTTGTGCGTTTTAAAAATTCATGAAAAAATCGGCGTGCGTCGTTTTTGTATCACAATTCTGACATTATTGTTGTCAAATTTATGAACGCTACAAAAGCGACGCTATCCACATACTCACCGGTTTGTGCTTATTGTAGTTGAATAACGCTAATATACACTGAACAGCTGGTTTGTACTCAGAGCTCAGAAGAAAACGTCGGATGTCCTGCAGATTTGTATAGAAATAATCAACTCGACGAACTGAGTCGAACTTTTCCTGTCTGTTTTTCTATCTCACTTAATTTTTCGGATATCGATCTTAAATTTTGCACACCTCTCTATCTTCCCAAGATGCCGTATTTTACGGAACCAACAAAATCGGTCGTTTGCTGCCATTTAAACTGAACGATCGGAATGAAGTACTTTTTCTCTTTACAAGATATCTTCATGAAATGTTACAAGAATTATTGCCTAGGGTAAACCTACAATCTCCGGTAAAATTGTTTGCATTGAACCATATTTGCATTCAGCTGCCATATAAACTGACCAATAAAAATCAAGTCCTTTAATGGAAACCTTTCACATTTGATGAAACATTTTGATAAAGTGCACCTGAATTTATGGTTTACGGGACCACTAAAACCTCCGAAAGTATTGTAAAAATCGAACTAGTTTGGCATATCAGTGTCATACAAACTGACCAATCGATTTTAAATCCTTCAGTGGAGCACTTTTCTATTTGACAAGGTATCTTAACGAAATTTGGCATAGATTATTATCCACAACAACCGCATAAATTTTGAAAAAATTGTTCAGAAAGGACCATTATAGCATATAGCTGCCATTCAAACCGACCTATAAAAATCTAGTTCTTGTATGGAAATTTTCTTATTTGGGGAGAAATCTACACGAAGTGCCCATGATGTATTGTCTACGGCGGACTACTATAGCATAAAGCTGTCTTAAAAAATGGCCAATCAAAATCAAGTTTTTGCAAGGAAAGTTTTTTGACACATTACACACGGAATTTAGCATATATTGTTACTATCTAATAGATTGTTTCATTCTCAGAACACACCACCTTATTATGGTTTATTCTTATTAAGTCAAATTCAAAGTTGTTGTCAAAATAATTACAATTTTTGAGCAGATTTTTCAAACAAACCTTATGTATATTGCTATTTGCCAAACGAGTTGATATGAAGTGACACGAGAGTACGAATTGTCAATTTAAGGTCATGGCCTTGAAGCAAATGCCATTTGACTGGCAAATTCGTAATTAAATTGGACATATTAACAGTCGCGAATGACAAATCAAACCCTTTTTTTATCAATCTTTTTTTGTTTTATAATATTCAAGTAGTAAATCAATGACGCTGCGACGGAACGACTTTAACGCAAAAAAAAAAAAAAAAAAAAAAAAAAAAAAAAAAAAAAAAAAAAAAAAAAAAAAAAAAAAAAAAAAAAAAAACGATTATGAATATGATTTCAATGATATTTCTACCCTTCCAAATCCCTCTGGGATATATTAACCATGCCATTATATTATCCTCGAATGAAATAGATCCTATGACATGTCTGAATATTAGAAACCACTTCCACAGACAACTTACGAACAGATGTTCTAACTCAATATGTATTGTATCTAATGACTAGGCGATTATAATAGGAATTCGGAAAAACTGTATTACGAAGTCTGGACAAACATTTGCTGGCAAAATTTTGTTTGCTGTTCAAAGAAACCATAAAAGTCCTGGGTTCCATGAACTTTTCACCAATTTCCACCAATACATAACACTTTGTTATTATTTTACTTCGCTCTCAAACTCTCGAATTAAATTTTTTCTTTTGCTGGAGCACAAACCTATGCGTTTTCGCAAATACTGTTATGCTAAAACAAAAAAATTAGCGGTTCGGTGTTGGCAAAGCCACGGGCAACGAACAAAAAGGCGCACATGTAGATGAAAGATAGACAGAGTTTGATGAAAGATAGACAGAGAGAATGAATACTGACAAAATTTGAGCGAGATAGTTATGTGTTTTTGAGCAAACGGAAAAGAATTAAAAAAACTGAGTTTTTTCAAGACATGAAAATTATGCTCTCTGCAGAGAGAGAGAGAGAGAGAGAGAGAGAGCTGACTTTTATTATTTCAGGCACAATGCTATAAAACTAAATTTTTAATGTGTATTCCAGCGATCTCGATGCTAATGTTTTTTGTAAAAACTTGAATTTTTTATTGTTAAAAAATTATGCAAAATATTTTTCTAACTGTTCAACTTACGTTGATCTATAACTTCGCATTTTAAAATAATTTAGTTAAAATTTTGTTGAAGATATCTTCTTTAAATAGCTTATTGTACTCAACAAGGCTAAAAAAGTACATTTTAAATTTTTTTTATCAATATACATTACGATCACTTATTTCATAAAAATATGTTATAAGTTTACTTACATCTTCCTTATAAATCTCGACATAGATTTAAAGCTTCACCTTTTCTATACCTCGAAAAGTTACGGCACGATTTCGAATATTTTTCGTATAGAAGTGTCACATCTTATTGTCGCTTTCAGCGCAAAGTCCTATTCCGATATCTTCATTGGTGTTCTATTTATTTATTTGGTTTTAAGGCGTGGTTTTAATCCAATTTCGGTCAACGTATAAATGTGACATAATGGTGTAAAAGTAGTGTCTCGTAGCACATTTGGTTAAAATCGGTCGAGTGGTTGCTGGGTTATTACAGTTTTTAGAACGAATAGTAGGTCAAGAATAAGAAATCAATGAAAAAATGTCCGAACCTTTCATTTTACATGAGCTAAAGCCAGTTAATGCGACTGATAAAATCTATAATATTTTTGGTGGAGAAGAGCCAACCTTAAAAGTACCTCAACTAAAAGAGTATTTAAAAAATGAAAGAGCACAGATTGACAGATCACAGGTGTAGTTAACATAATACATTGTAGGATCTAGTTTTGCTAATTTTTTAATATATTACAAAGTAACTGGTTTGTAAAAATGGTCTTAATTCGTGCTCGGTAGTAAACAGAGTCGGTATTTTGACTTAGTATAAGTGTTATTTAAGACTGTCTGACTTAACTTTCATCTCAAACTTCAATCGAGCCAATATTTCAGAATTATCTGCTGCACCATCTAGCGGTTATTTTTCCTATAAGAATTTTAGCGAAATCATTTCAGCGAATGCAGTAAGTTTTGGATTTGTAGTTGTATCAAATAGAATGAACTTTTTAGACAATTTTTTTTTATTATATAATACTTTATGTATTGATAGTTTCTACAAATGGTTTTTTATATGTTATGAGGTGATGCCTAAAAATATAGTTGTAGATAGAACCGCAAACGAATGATTTGTGCCGAGAAGTTTTATGCGAGCAGTTTACACTTTTACCCCTCATTTACAAATAATAAAGAATATACAAAGAGAATGTTCTCTACAGTAAAAGAGAGAGTAGTAGCGTTAATTTCATTCCAAATAAATTTCTTTTCCATTCCTCTTAAAAAGCTGTACGCTCCACGGAGTTGAAGGAAATTTCAATGCCACGCAGCGTATCTCCAAGAACTCTCCCTATATATTATAAAATTAAACAAAAAACAACAAAAATATGACTCGTCAAGTTTTATATATTTTTTTCTTTCCCAAAATTTACAAAACAATAGCATCTCCAAAATTCACACTTTGCTGCGTTTCGCTTCGTCTCCGCATTTTGAGGAGATCGCAGCTCGAATTGTTTTCTCGGAGCATTGAAATCGCTTCTGCACGCAATAAATTATATCAGCTACCTTCTCTGGATCTAATCTGGGCTTTTTGGTATCTTTATGCTTATAGTACAATGGCGCAATCCTGCCGCTGAAGGAGTGCGTGGCAAGCGTTTCGCCGCCAAATACGCACATAAGCAGTTTTCGTGTTGCAAACGAACTGCTAGACCAACGAATCTTGTCGTACCTCGCTTTCGGTATTGCTGTACCATTCGGTCCTAGTTTTATCATATGTGAGTCTTCATCTGTTTCTTTCTCAGTTACATTCGAGCTGCTGAAATCGTCAGTTATTTCTGTTGAGCACTCGTCGGAGAGTTGTTCTCTGTCACGCTCGTTGGCATGTTCAATTGTTTCGTCTATGATTAACTGATCTTCAGTATTAGTTACTTCTTCCTTTACCTGTTCGTAGTTCGAAGTTTCCGCTGTGATTTCTTGTTTTATCTGGTGATTCTCAATTTTTGGTGTTATATGTACTGCAGTTTCTTCTGGTTCTTTCTTGAATACAGTTATGAGTTCAGTGCGTGTTTTGTGTGAAATTTCCTCTTCATTAGTGTTAGGTTTTGCATTATCAATGTATATATGTTTTGAAGGTCTTATTATTTCAGGTGTAATATTTATCACGTTTGAATGTGTTACATACACCGAATTCAAAGGTTCATCGTAGGAAATACGTTGTCTTTTGGCTGCATTGCCTTTATTTTGTAGATTTCGTCTGCGTTTCAGACAGGTGGTGAACAGGGTGCTTGGTAAGAGAGTGTTAGAAATTTTGTGCAATATTTGACCCATGAAACTCTTTTTATAAATACGGTATTTACTAAAACTAATTTTTGAACCTCTTTTTAGTGTTTTTGTTGCCAGTAATGAACGCATGTGTATGACCTTAAAGCGAAGCTAGCTTGACTTTTATAAGTGTCATGCAGGTAAAATGTATTTTCTATTAATTTGAAAGAGATTAGGTTACATACTGTTACTTTATACTCTCTCTCTCACACACAGGTCGGAGTGAATCTTTCGATTTAATTGATATTAAAAACCTTTCACCGTATCACGAGCTTTCTTTTTGCGAACGAAAGCTCCATCGTAAAAGGGTTCTATGTTTGACCAAGAGCAGAAAATAGAAGACTATTTGTTTTTGGAGTTACAATCTTTTGAAATAAACTTCGCAAATAATTTTCGAAAAAAATTTGGGTAAATTTTCAACTTTTAGTTTGTTTACCTCTGACTGTTTTATTTTTTAGATTTACTCAATTTTACTTTAAATTTAATAAAATCGACTAATTTCCGTAGCTATGGAAAAATAAGAGAAATAAAAACTATTTTCGTCTAAGATAAAAGATTGTGTATACTTTAAGGAATAAAATATTGGTCTCGTAATATAAACGATTCCTTGAGGAGGCCTTAGGAATTTTTCAGATGATTTTACAGTCTCCTTAAAAGTAATCTCCACTATACCAATGATTTTTCCAGTCCTCGGAACACTTGCCTGACAATTTGCAAGGACCATATCCTTCATATCATGCTGATTGGCTTGGTTTTTGCGGCAGATAATAAGACTCTTTGTGTTTTTTTTTTAGCAAAACAGGGCGCGCGAAACACAACTCAATCACTCTAGAAAGCGGTGTTCTTCAAGCGAAGATTAATACAATTTAAAAAATTTAATTAGTGTAATTTTTTTCATGTGGTAAATTAATTTTTAGAATCTTTGCTCTGATAAATTCAATATTTTAAGTTAACATAAAAGGCGTCATATCTTTGTATATAAAAATCTTCTGACCGTGCGTTTGTAAATGAACTCCTCCTAAACGGCTGGGGCGATTTTAATGAAATTTTTTTTGTGTGTTCAACGAGATTCAAGAATGGTTTAGATTCATAATTTGATCCACTGGCAAATGTTGTTTGAAACTAATTTTTCATTTTTAATTAGTTGGTAATTTGGAATGTTTTACATTGGATCCGATAGACTGCGCTACCAACGCAGTATCCAATATTCAAACCTTAAAAGGCGGCATCTGTAGACCAATAGCGTAACGTATTTTAAGAATTAACCCTCTAGAAATCTCTAGAAACCATTTATAAGTAAGCTTGCATGTCGATTTTATACAGCCTACCCAAGCTCGTGACCAGCAGTAAGTAACATTTAATGTATATTTTCTTTTCCAATGTAATTTCGCAGCTCCACAAGCGTGCTTCTACACCTGTGGTGTTCTTAGTTGTATTAACAACATGATCGTAGTTTGATAGCCATCAAAGCCTTTGCTGCGTTACATGATTATTTCCATTTCTACAGCTGATTTTTGAGCATTGAGCAGGTAGAAGAAAAAGGTACGGGCATATACCGCATTAAAGTCTCGGGAAAACTGGTTGAAAAATCAGAAAAATAGTAACCAGTTTCGAGTCAGCGATGTTCAAGGCAAAATTTAAAAACTTGAATAATCGGTTGCATGACTTGTTGGCATAAACCATAGACTTGAAAATAGTCTAGCGGCGTCAAATCGCATGACCGCGGCCAATTCACATCACCATTTCATGAGATGACACGTGCACCGAACTTAGTTTCCAATAAGTCGATTGTAACATTCGCCGTGTGGCTTGTGGCGCCGTCTTGTTGTAACCACATATTGTTCAAGTCCATATCATCCAATTCGGGCCAAACATATTCGGTTATCATTGAGCGGTAGCGATTGCCATTCACAGTAACGTGCCGATCTTGATCATCAATAAACTGCACCAGTCCGTAATTTTTTTAGGACGCAATGGTGACTCATGGAGTACGTGTGGATTGCTGTCTGACCAATAACGCATTTTTTGCTTATTGACGAAGCCATTCAGCCAGAAATGAGCCTCATCGCTGAAGATGATTTTTCGATGAAAATCCGGATCATTTTTAATGTTGCCCAATTCATGATCAGAGACGATTCTGGTGGTCAAGCGACTTCAGTTCTTACATCAATTTGATCTGGTAAGGATATGGGCGAAGATCTTTTCGCAAAATTTGCCACAATGACGTATATAAACAAAAAAGCAGTTATGCAAGTTTGGCAGCAAAAATTGTTGCATGAATGAAGCAATTAAAAAAAAATCAATTACAACAGAATATTTCATTGGCACTCAACCATTGCAATGGATTACATTCCCAGTGACAACAACACAACAACCACAGCGAAGAATAATAATGTGTAAATAAATAAGCGCAGTTGGCAACGCGGGCTACCGTTGAGCAGCAGCAAATAGTTTGAAGTATTTTACCGGAGTGCATCTGCAATTCATGAATAAGTAAATATCGCGGATAAATATGTATTTGTTGTATATATAAATAATGCTTTAAATGTTTGCATATTCACAAGCCACCATGCAACAATCAAAAAACAATTACTCACGAGAATTCACAACATTTCATAGCAACTAACGTTCAATAAATAAATGGCAACGCCGGCAACGAGAACGAATGCATAAAAGTGCTGCATATTCAGTTAAAAAAAGGCGGTAAATTCGTCCACTCATAAACTTTGTATTTGTTCATACATGTTGCATGCCGCAAAATGCACACAGCCGCTACGCGTTTTTACTGCCGATTTCGCTCCGCGTCGCTTAAATGCCTTAAATATTTTAATACCTTTTTGTTTATTGTATAATTTAATTTTTTGTTAAAGTTTTTTCGCCATATTTTTATTGTTTTCGCTGCAGTTTTCATTAACATTGACAGCCTCATATTGTTGTTGGCTAGTTTTTGTGCGGCATTTATGTTATTGCTCACTTGAGAGTACTGGTTCCATCACGCTGCGTTCTTTCACGTTTGCTCACGTATGTATTTGTGTTTTGTTGCTGTTGTTGCTGGTTTCAATGTCGGCTGCAGTCGCTTTTGTTCTGCGTTAATGATTTCATTGACCCGTCGGGAATCAACGCAATGTCGTCGAAATTTGAGTAGAGTCCATAGTTGATTTTTGTAAATTTAAATATTTTTATTAACTAAATAGAGTAAAAGAGAATGAAATAATTTACTATATTTAATATTTTTATGGTAAAAATTATTATGATTAAAAAAAAAGGATGTTAGCAAAAAAAAAGGTTACTGTCACTGACCCTTAGGTGCATGACTTCGCTAAACACTTATTTACAGTTACAAATTGTGGTCTACTTTATGCGAGCTAAACTCGTATTAATGTTAAAGGCGTAGTTTGCAATCCGATTGCTAATGGCGTTCAATAAAATGGTCACTTTTGATATATGAAAATTATGAAAAATTGTATTTAGGGTAGTCGAAAAAGTCTTTTCGTATTTCTAATCAATCTACAAATATGTACCATTTTGGTCGACCACTTTTTGCCATCGATCTCATCAGTAAAATGTAGAATCAATTGTTCGATCAGGCTCGAGCAGGTATTGGTAGATGATTGATTTCTAATCCCACCAAACCTTTCGAGGCGTCAATTCTGGCTATGCGACCGTTTGTTAAGCATCACCACACATTATTGTCGCGTTTGATCCACTTTTCGTCTCCTGCTTCCAGCAAAGAATCGCAGATGTTAATTCGGTTTATTAAATTTTTCACAGACAATTCATTTGGTACCAAAAAAATCGAGCATCTTTTTGTCTCGAACCTTTTTTAAATGGTTCAAAATCCTTTGATAATGAATGGAAAGTTCCTTAGCGATGTTATGGCTGCTTCTGTGACGGTCCTGGTCAATCTTTTTCATATTTTAATCGACTATTTCAACGATAGGTCGACCAGAGCGAGGTTCGCCTTCCACATCGAAATTTCCAGAACATTGTTGTGCTACACGAACTGATGGAGAATCGTCTCCGTAAACTTCATGAGTTTCATTGATGACTTGCGTGGTATTCTTCCCTTTTTTATACAAAATTTAGCGAATTTCTTCATTATTTTCAGTCATGTTTGAACAGCTGTAACTCTTTCAACTTCCCCGAATTATTTTGACAAAACGGACCCGGAAAAAAATTTTGCTGTTAATTAATATACTGAACAAATAAATAATAGATAGTGTGACTTTATAATAACACATTTTTCCGGTTCGCACGTGGACTACTATATGTAGTCCTTCGTGAAGCCATAGAGAAGAAGAACTCCTTAAACACCGCGAAACCCACCTACCTAGTAATAGAACACAAGAAGATACGGGAGCACCGACCCGCTTCAATTGTACCCAAGCGGTTCTAGGTGCCCTTCCTGGCTAGCTCAGCAGCTTTAAAATTGTTTTTGATTGCGGTGTAGCACCCTTACCAGTTTTATCATAAAGACACTCGATGCTACTGATAGCGAGGTTAGGAACTCCTTGACTCGTCTTGAACCCTGTTAAGAAGTTCAAGGCTAATATCACCACTCCTATATCTGAGTAGATGGTGACTTCTCAGAAGGCGGCTACTGCTACCTTAATAGCTGCAACCTCTGCTTGTGGATAGTCAAAAACTCTGAAGCTGCAGTTGATACAAATCTTCTAACAGTTACCCTTCCACCGACCTTCCTTCCAAGCATTAATCCATTCGTAAAGAGGCTCTCTGTTTCTCTCCTCCAACTGCTTCGTCCCCCACAACTACCTCGTTGGTATGTGGGCAGAGTAAGAGCCGCCAGAGTTCGATTTGGCGACTCCATGATCCAAGTGATCCGTTATGAAATCATATTGTGTGAGGATTTCTGAGCATTCAGACACGTGTCCTGTTAGGAACCCAGACTTTCTGTGTCTGATAGCAACTTTCGCAGCCATACACCTTCCCACAATGCCTACAGGCAATGTGTGCAATATGGCGTTAAGTGCGATAGTTGGAGTGGACCTTAGTGCACCACACATGCTGATGGGCGCCACCCTGTGAACCTGTTGAGTTTCTTTGCAAATGTATTCTATTCTAGAGCTCTCCACATAAAGACTCAATAGATTTTTAAATAAAGCTATTTAATATTAATGTCTAAAAAAATTTCCAAAAGACAAAAAATCAAATATATTTTGATTCAGCAATTTCGCCATTAAACGAGTGAATAAAAAATTATTAGCCATTTACTATGCTTTCAGAGTATTTACACATTCCAGTTCACTGCATAAAAAGAAAATGTAATGTAAATACACGCTATCGGCAGCATTAACTTGCAACAGATTCCGGGCAGCACAAAGCAAATACTGTTATTTCTAGAAAAGCAAATATGAAAGCCGCG